TGCTGCTGCTGTTGCTGCTGCTGCTGCTGCTGTTGCTGCTGCTGCTGTTGCTTGCTGTTGCATCTTCTGGTGCTGGTGCTGCTGCGTCTGTTGCTTAGTTTTAAGTTGGTTGTTGGTACTTTGTGTGTATTTCTCGTGTATCTATTCCTTTGTTACAGTGCGGAACACACCGCTAGGGTTTAGGGTTTAGGGTTTAGGGTTTAGGGTTTTGTATGTTTGTTGTGGTTTCAGTTTGTGCTGTCGGACTGTATCGTTGTTCCTTCTCTGCTGGTGGCGCAGCAGCTGCGGTCTTCGCATTTTCCTTACTATCGCTTTGTTACTTTTGAGGGGGAGCGGCTGCAGCACAGCGGGGTGTATTCTATAGATACTGCTGCTGCTGCTGCTGCTCCTGCTGCTGCTGGTAGTTCTGCTGCTGCTGCTGCCGTGGCAGCGGGACGCACGCATGCACTGCAGCACGCCGAGCTGCTGCAGAGAGCTGAAGAAGTTGCTGCAGAACTACATAAAATCGATGCGCTTGAGGTATACACAAACCCTAAACCCTAAACCCTAAACCCTTGGCGCTCAACTGTAAAATTAAAAGGCCTAGATGGCGAACCCTGAGCTATGCACCCTAAACCCTAAACCCTAAACCCTCACGTGCTGCATACAATATGTTCCGTCCTTAACCCTAGAATTGTTGATTGCTGCTCCTGGGGTTTGTCTCATACATGCGAAACCCTAAACCCTCACTGTTCTTAACCCCCGCCCTAAACCCTGAAGCTGCTGCTGCTGCTGCTGCTGCTGTTTGCATGCAGAGCGGCAGCGGGGAGTTCGTCAGCAGGAAGCAGCAGCAGCTGGAGAGGCTGCACAGGCTGTCCTTGCAGCAGCAGACAAAGCAAAAGGCATGGGAGCAGCAGCAAGAGCAGCAGCAGCAGCAACTGCAGCAGCTGCAGCAGCAGCACGCACAGCTGCAGCAACGCTGCGAGCAGCAAAGGCAGCGGACCGCCGCCCTAGCAAAAGAAGTTGAGGAGGTAAATAAACAAAAAAAATAAAAAAAATAAAAGAAAAAAATAGATAAAACAAAGCAAATAAATAAGTATGAGTATATGAAACAAATAACCAATACTATACAAATTACCGAAAATACAAATAAATACATAAATGATAAAGAAGTACAAATAAAAATACTTAATTAAATACATTCAATTAAAATAAATACAATAACATATATAAAAATAAATAAATACGACAATTCAGGTGGAATATATACAGCAGAAATCGAGAAGTGCCACAATTGCTGCTGTTGCTGCTGCTGCTGCTGTTTCTGTTGCTGCTGTTGCTGCTGCTGTTGCTGCAGCTTCAGGAAGCATCTGCTGACGCACAGGCAGCAGCAATGGTTGGATTTGGTAAGGGGTTGAAGCTGCCTCAGGCGGAGCTGCGGGAGCTGCTGCTGCAGCAGCAGCAACAGCAGCAGCAGCGAAGTGCAGCAGCAAAATTGCATGTGCAGCAGCTGCGGCTGGAAGCAGAACTGAAGGACTGCCGGAGCCGGCTTGAGGCTGCTGTAGCAGCAGCAGAAGCAGCAGCAGCAGCAGCGCAGCAGCAGCAGCAAGAGCAGCATGCAGTGCAGCAGCTAGCCACATATGAGCGACAGCTAGCTGAGGCAGAGCAGCAGCACGAAGAGCGGCAGCAGCAGCAGCAGCAGCAGCAGCAACTGTTGCAGCAGGTGGGGAGGGAGCTGCAGCAGCTACGCGGGGAGTCAGACCGACTGCTGCGAGAGAAAGCTGAAGCCGCCGCTGCTGCTGCTTCTGCAAGGCAGCAGCAGCAGCAACAGCAGCAGCAAATCCTTCATCTGCTGCGACAAGCAGACGCTATTGGTTTGGAGCTCCCCCTCAAGGTGATCTCTTATTCTTTGTTTTGTTTTTTTCTTCTTTTTTATTTTGTTTCTTTTTTCTTTTTCCTTTTGTTTTTGTTTCCTCGTCTTTTATCTTTTTTTATTGTTTTGTTGAATTGTTTCTCTTTTTCTTTTTTCTTCTTTTGTTTGCTTTCTCCTGTGGCTGTGTTCTTCTGGCATTCATCTTTTGTGCTTTGCTTATATCGCTGTTGGTGTTTAAGGGTTTAGGGTTTCGGGTTTAGGGTTTAGCTTTCTACTAAGGGTTTAGTGTTTAGGGTTTAGGGTTTAGGGGTATAATTTCGAATTGTCTCTGTATGTGGGGCTGCATGCGACAGCGAGGGACGTGGAAAGATGTGCAGCAATTCATCAATGACGCTGATCGCCAGCAGCAGCAGCAGCAGCAACAGCAGCAGCAGCAGCAGCAGCAGAGCCTTGAGGGATTGCGATGCTTTTCGTTTGACTGGGATGCGCTTCCTGCCGAAAAACGAACAGTAAAATGTTTCTATTTCTGCTGCTGCTGCTGCTGCCGTTGCTGCTGCTGCTGCTACTGCTGCTGCTGCTGCTGCAATTGCTTCCCTGCTGTTGCTAGCTGCGCATTGAACAGTAAAATATTTCTGTTGCTGCGGTTGCTGCTGCTGCTGCTGCTACTGCTACTTTGTGTAGTGGATGTTTAGCGCATTCAACATTGGGGCTTTTTTGCATGCAGATGATAGAAAGAGAGAACGGCAGTGGGGCGCGGGTGCAGCAGGAGCTACAGCGGCTGCGGGAGCAGCAGCAAAAGCTGCAGCAGCAGCTGCAGCAGCTGAATCCAAATTTTAAGGTCGAGGAGAAGCTTGAGGAGGTTGAGGCGAAGGTACAGCAACAAGAGGAACTGCAGCAGCAGCAGCGGAATGCAGCAGCAGAAGCAGAAGCAAAACTAAAAACATTACGCAGCCAACGGCGTGAAGCCTTTATGAAATGCTTTATACATTGCCAGAATGTATTGAATCTTATCTTTGCTCATCTATCAGCTGGAGGACCTCTACAAGAACAGCAGCAACAGCAGCAGCAACAGCAGCAGCAGCAGCAACAGCAGCAGCAAGGGGTGGCATCGGATATGCTGATGCTTGAAGATCATATGCAGGAGCCATGGCAGCAGCAGCAGCAACAGCAGCAGCAGCAGCGGCAACAGCAGTTTGAGGCTGGAGGGGCTCAGGCGTTTCTTGACCTTGAAAGCTCAGCAGCATTCACCAGGGACGAAGAGCCATTCAACTGGTAACAGCAAACCCTAAACCCTAAACCCTAAACCCTTACACCACGAAGCAAACCCTAAACCCTAAACCCTTACACCAAGAAGGAAGAGACATCCAACTGATAATCACAAGCTCCAAACCCTAGACCAAAGCTAGTTCATACGATAAGCAAGATTTGAAGTGTTTTAGGGTTTAGACTTGAAGGCTAGGGTTTAGGGTTTAGGGTTTGCGTGGTGCGTTCAGCGGTGTTTCTTTGATTTGCAAATTTCCCACCAAAAGATTTATGCCATTTCAGCAGCTCAGCGGTGGCGAGCAGCATGTTGCTGGTTTGTCTCTAGCGTTAGCTTTGTCTTCATTCAACTCTGTGAGCCCGAGGGTTTAGGGTTTAGGGTTTAGGGTTTACAGATAACCTGCCTGTTTCAAATATATGTATGTATGCGCTTTGTTCCTCTCTTCGGCCATAACTTCCTTCTCTCTCAAGAACATGAGGGTTTGGAGTTTAAACTTTAGGGTTTAGGTTTTCGAGTTTAGGGTTGAGGGTTTAGGGTTTAGGGTTTTTGTTTCGTTTCAGAAGGTACCGTTTTTACTATTGGATGAAATCGACGCCCATTTAGATAAAACCCGCTTAAGTCGATTGGCGACACTTTTGAGAGAAATTTCAGGAGGAAATAAAATTCAGTGTTTATTCATTACGCATAAAGAAAGGTAAAACACTAATCCTTTATATACTAGGGTTTAGGGTTTAGGGTTTGGGGTTTGGGAGGGGGGGCTGTTAGGACCTAGGGAACTCTATCTATCGATGAACTTACTCTACCAATGGCACTGTAAATCTCTTTGCATTCAATATATATATATATATATATATATATATATATATATATATATATATATATATATATATATATGTGTGTGTGTGTTTTTGTTGTATTCCTTGTGCATTTCAGGTTGTTTACAGCAGCTGATTTGTTAGTGGGTGTGGTGGAGGACACTGCGCCTTCTTCGTCGCGTTGCTTTTTATTTGATGTTCGACCGTACAGACACCGCGAGCCACCGTGCCCAGCGAACTGAAACTAAACCCTAAACCCTAAACCATAAACCCTAAAACCCAAACCCTGAGAAGAAGAATATCAGGGATTATGCACAACCCCTTTCTCTTCTTGTTCTAATTATTATTGTTTGTCTGCATGCAACGTGAGAGTGTTTCTTCTTATTTCAGCTTTGGGGCTTTCTATTATTTCGGTTTCTTTTTTTCACCCCAACAGGTATTGCAAAGCCCAGCTGTATCTACAGCGTAAAAAATCTATCCTCGGTTTTCCCTATCAGACGCCATCCCTTAATATACATATGTATATATATTTGACGTATATCTATCATACAGTATGCAAACTATGTATATGCATTTATACCTTATCTACATAGTGGATGCGCTAGGCAATAAGAATGAGTCTAGGGCTACCCTATATACTTCGCCATTACTACAAACTAGTACA